AATTAGAATTAGTTTTTGTTAATATTAATTGTTTGTGGATGTAATATTACTCTAGATAGTAGATAAAAATATATAAAAACATATTTTATTGATGTGTCCCCGCTATGTCCGTATTCTAATTTTTTTGAAATTGCCGTGTTCCATATCCACATGTATTTGTACTCATATCCATATCCGTGTCCGTGTTCATATCCGTGCTTCGTAGATAGACATAATTGTACATAATTACATGTATAACAAAAAAAAAAAAGAAAAAAAAAGAAAAAAAGTAGTCATTTGCAACATATTAAATGAACTAACCTCACGGCAGCACCAAATCCATAGGGTATTGCATAGAGTGTTGCAATGGTATTGAGACTGCTCATAAAAACAACCAAAATAAATTGTTGGAGTTGTTATACCAAACTCAATATCACAATTCCGTAACATTGGAGACCCACACTTTTAAATTCACAAATTCATTCACAATGATATGATAAGAGAATTGAGTCCTACATCATCAGTTATATAATAAATCACAAGTTGACACATATCATATACCACATCATTACGGACATAGTTGTGTGAAATTTTTTGAGACTCTCAAACATTTTTCTTCCTATTTATATTTTTGAATATTGAGAAATGTTGACGATATAAATAATAAACTTTGTCATTCTCTTTAACAGTTTAATCTTTTAGTTGAACTAGTATTGTGATAAAGAACATACCATACAGACAATACAGAAGTTTCAAGCTGTGGATTTGGTAAAAGCCCAGAAAGCAAGATAAGTAGCTCGAATGACCACGATTCAAGACTGCATTCATCACCATTTAGGAAAGGAAAAACCTCATAACTCTGTTTAACAAATTCACAAAAACAAATAACTTAAATAATTGAAAAAAATAAATAAAATAAAATTACCAAATCATAACAGCGGAGGGAATGGCAAAACTGAAGAACTCGCCAACTCCCCATAACACTTCCATGGAAATTGGGACCCGAGTTTTTTCACAAGAAGAAGAGTACTTCATGTACAATACGAGGAAGATCACGTTCAACCAAATCGAAATATCAATTGCTAATGCACCTCCAAGGTTATCCAATCCGGACTTAAACACTAGAACCCAACAAAGAGGTATGTGGAAAGCAAGAGTGGCACATGAGCTTATAAGCATGGGAAGTGTCAAACTTTGCATTTGGAAGTATCGAACAAGCGGTTGAAGAATCGCATAAGCAAAGAGGGCGGGAACAAGCCAAAGGGTCTTGGCCTATGAAAATGAGTATTCTTCCCATAAAAATCCATAATATGGAGAGAGGAAGACAAAATATGACTAGGGAGAAAATAGCAGCGTAAGTTTGAGTTCCAAGTTTTTGGTATTGTTGAGCTCCATATGCCTGCCCACATAGAGTTTCCAAAGCACAAGCCATCCCTAACTGTAAGACAAATTGAAAATCTAGTTAATTAGTTACAATATAAATTCAAGATTAAGGCTTTGTTTGGCATGTGCTAAAATAACATATGTTATTTTAGCACATTATCCTATCTAGATCACAATCATTTTATTTGGGTTACATCAGTTCAAACCCAACTCATATTTCACATTGTTTTTTATTTTTATTTTTATTTTTATGAAAAAAAAGAGTATACTTATCTAGTACATTCCAAACAATCCCTAAATCTGTATTAGGTTACTCAATTTGAATCATTTGTTTCTTTTCTTGTCATATCCACATAAATCTGTTGTATGTTTGTATATTTTTGTGGTCGTTCTAAGGACTAATCTAGAGGTCTAAGTGTTTGATGGTTGCAGATGAGACAGCTTCTTACCAAGTGTGATATCTAAGTTTGAATTTTACTGTTGCGCGAGGTACAACTTTTCCTTAGTTTTCCTCCTACCAATTGTAAAAATAAAAAATGGACTAATAACAATCTAAAGAAAACTTCAGTCATGTAAAATGAAGTTGGCCTATGATATTTTCAATATAGAATAAGGAGTTCATAAACATCTTTTATGAACATCACTGCCAGGCCAGGAATCACTGACAACGGTTTCCTAGCTTTTACTATGGCAACAAATTATTGTATGTGTGAAAATATGAAGTAACAATTATGTTTGTGTTGCATGTCAAGTAATTTTAAATTGACTAAAAAAATGAAAATATTTCAAAAATTATGTATAACCGATGTAAGATAAGTATTTTAAAAAAAAAAAAAAAAGTGGTTGTTAACATTAAATATAAAAAATAAAAATGGGGATTAAAGTGGGTTGGGAAAAATCCATGCCCATTAAAAAATGGGGAGGGTGGTACCCATGGGAAATAGGGAAAATTTATTATAGGGGAATGGGAATGGGGAATTAATATCCACCCCATTGTTCCCCATTGCCATTCCTATGTATGAAGCGTGAGAGATACCACTTGGTGGCCAAAAAGCAATTTTTTTTTTTTTTTTTGGTGGCCAAAAAAAAATTAATTTTTTTTTTTTTTTTTTTTTTTTCATATTCAAGTCTCTATTCCCGTCAAACAAACATAGACACTACAAGAAAATACATATATAAAAAAAAAAAGAAGCTTTACTATAGTCTTCGCTTAAAAAAGGACAAATTACATTTAAATGGAAACTAGGTAAAAGAATTACAAACTAATAGAAACCTTTTCAAAATTATAATAAAGTTGAGAAGTTAAAAATAAAAAATAAATTACAAACACATAAAATCAGATATTTGAAATATCAATTTGCTCCTTTCATCTTTTTGTTCGTGTTTCAACTTTAAAAAACTTGCCACCAAATTGTAATTAAAATCCTCAGTTCCCACTTATTTATTGTTTCCCCTGAACAATACTAGCTGAAAACTGCAACCTTTTCTATGTTTGGTATTTCATTTTGTGAAGTAAGGTATACTTGGTTCACTTGACCAAAATGTCCTCATCCATGGACAGGTGTCAGTTAGATGAGGTCACTGTGGATGCTGCCTATTTATTTAAAAATTATAGAAATTTTAAATTGAATAGTAGAGAAAATCATTGTAGAATATAGGCACCAAGCAAGTCTGTGCTCTGGTACAAATGGAAATTATAATTATACTCACTTGCACCAAAACAGAGACCTTATGTACATCTTTATATTTTTGCAATTACTTCCACTTCCTATAGTCTTATTTGAGAATCTCTAAATAACTAGCTTTTTATTTAAAAAAGTCAAAAGTAAAAAAATTGGGGAGGACTTAAAAAAAGTGGTGTGTAGACAAAATCATTTTAAAATAATGGAATTAGAAGCAGTTCATACATAAATTTATGTAAAAAAAATTTGTACTATCATCATTTTAAAATTATTTTTTCTACCCTAAACTTTTTTGAAAAGTAACCTTTTTTTCTCTTTTTTCTTTTTTTGTTGAAAATATTAACAATATTGTTTAAAGACAATTTACCATATGTACTTTGATAACCTTTGATGATGTAATGAGAGTTCCAAAACACTATAAAGATAATATGATAATTTTTCTATGAAAAATATAAAAAAATACTCACAAAACTTTCTTCATAACAAAAAAATAATTAACTAATTAATATTTAACAATTACTAAATGTATTAACATTTAAAATTTAAAAAAAGATAAATTATTAAAAACGTAATTCTCAAACCCCACCATATTGACAATCTTTTTTTTTTTTATCAGTAAAGAAAAATTTCATTAAAAGCATGAAATTAAAGGTACAGGAAGATGACATGCATTGAGAGAGATTCAGAAAGTACAGAATACTCCTACTACTGCTACTTGCATCCATACAACCAACCCCTTGGCCTCACGGTTTTTTTTTTTTTTTTTTTTTAAACAAAAAAGTTAAGAAGAACTTAACTAGAAAATAAAATACAAGACTTCCCACAAAATCAACCCACACAAACCGAACCCAAAAACCAACACCGAAATACCCAAGCTTAACAAACTATCTCCCATTGCTGCTGCACTCCCAATCCACCTGAGCTGCCAAGACCATCATCAGCCTCTTCTTCCACTCTGCTGATTACCCCTTGCTGGCTCACCTACCCTGGTACACCATCCTCCTTGCCTCTGTAACCATCTTTTGACTCCAAGCTAGCAACCTATTTGAAGGCCAACTTCTCTGCAAGCCCCTGAACAATAAACTCACACACCCCCGATAGGACACCCACCACCACTTCCATGGTCGAAACACCTCCTTATAGAACACCCAACTCCACTCCACTTCCGATTCAAACCTCCGAACACTCACAGCAACCGAACACACCTGATGACGAACAAAACCCGCTACCACTGCCAACTCCAGCTCCATGGTCGGACACCTCTATTCCGATCCAAACTCCGAACACACCCGCTGCAGAAGCTCCAAAGTTAACACCCAAAACAACGACGAAACCGCCAAGGCACCGCCATACATCTGAAAGAAGTTCACCCCTCAAATACCCACTCGAAAAGGAGCGCTCGAATGAAATCTTAGATCTGGATCGAAAATCTGGATCTAGATCTGAACTCTTAGATCTAAGATCTGGACCGAAACATCACCAAAGATCTGAACCAAAGATTCATCCCTCAACCTCCTACTCGCACAGGAACGCCCGAGTGAAACTCCTAGCCAGATTAGAACAACCGCTAATCCAAACCAAAACCGACCACCATCTACTCTGTTTTGACCCCTAAACCAAGCACCCCCTGGTGAAACAAAACAAAATAACCCCAATGGGAGCTGGACCAGCAGCACCGAAACACACCTAAGTGGGAAAATAATGTGGGAATCAAGTTATTATATGGAAAGACCAAAGAGGGAGCTGGACCAGCCGACCGCCATAGCCAAAAGCGGGGGGCCGGCCAGCCAAAAGTGAGGCCCGGAGTGGAGGTTTTTAGAGAGAGAGAGAGAGAGGGAAGTGCTTTTGTGTATGTTTGGCTCTCTCATTTTTAAAAAAGGGCACAGTACATGACAAATGACTGAAAGAGTGACTATGTTTGGAGAAAATGTGCCCAATTGCTTTGACAATAGTTTTAAAAAGTGTGTGTTTTCTTGGGTTCTAAGGTTTTGAATGATAAATTTGTTTATTTTAATCATTAACCAAGATTTTTAACTTCTTCATTATAATTATTATGGGGTTGAAATGTGTCTAACGTCAATTCCATGGAGATTCTTAACTAATCTTGTAAAGTGTGCTTTAAGAGATATTTTCAGTCAAGGAAGGATAAAATTGTGTGCAAGTAATCTCTCACCAAATCTTACGGAAAGAGTAATGTTAGGGATTTTAAATATTTTATTAATATTTTTAGACAGAATGAAAATATTGAACTCATGTACTATCTTTTTTCTTACTTTACTTTACTTCCTCTAATTTTTTTTCCTTTCCTTTTCTTTTCTTTGCTTTACTTTTTTTTTTTAAATATAATTTCCTCCGTTTTTCTACTAGGAGTTATTACCTTTTATATGAGCAGCGGAGTTTGTGAAATGAAACTATTAACTATAGGAGTGAAAATGTAATTTCTAGAACATCAAAAAATAAGATGTAATTGGACCGAATCTCAAGAGGTGTCTATGTAATTTACCCTTTCTCTAATTATTTTCACTTCTTTCTGCTTATTTATAATATTTGGGTGCAATCTGTATTTGGGAAGAAAGATCTATCTACAAGATTATCTATATAAAAAGTAATATTAATTAAAATTACTAATTTTATTTTTCTTTTAAAAAATAAATAATTTATTCTCAAAATCATATTTATTATTCATATTTTTCAAAGTAAATATGATTTGATCATATAATTATCAATACTTTATCAATTTAATGTTTTACATAAATTATCTTTGTGACATGATGTACTTCATATTATTAAAATAAATTATCCGGCAGACCAAACAAATTGCACAACACCCTATTGTAAAAATCTCATTAAAAAGAATAAAGATTAAGATGGCACAAAAGACTGAAAGAGTGACTTTCTAGGCTCTTAGAAAAATATACACCAGCTGCTCTAAATGTGACAGTAGGGAATTTTGGTGTTTCGACTAGAATAATGGTGCGTACACGCATGTTAATATGTGAAAACACGATAGGATAAGAGATTTCGATCTTTGCTTGAAGCCATGAAATTATATGGGTTGCAAGTTACATTAGATTATGAGAATATTTGGGAAATTGAGCCATTTGATGGTGTTAGGTCCCTATGTTGTCAAATCCGAAGACAAAACCTTGTGTTGATTCAAAAGTTTTTTTTTGTGTTTTTGTACTGTCCGCTCGAGCGGAGACTTTTAAGCTCGAGCGTAGATTAGCAGGTCTCAGTATTTTGACAGGGCAAGCACAAATACTGATGGGTGTGATTTTACACTCGAGCGGATTATCATACGCTCGAGCGCATCTCAGCTTATTCACACGCCGTTTTTGGTCAGTCCGCTCGAGCGGGCTTTGGTGAGCTCGAG